TCCCGGAGTACCTCCCACAGGAGTCCCCGAGGGACACGGTCGAACACCTTCTCCAAGTCCACAAAGCTTTTATCGTTAATGGCTTTTTTAAAAGTGCTCATTACTTTTGCTTTCATACTTTAAGTAGTTTTAAAACCAGTACTTTTATACTTTTACTTGAGTAAAAAGCTCAAGTTGATACTTCTACTTCCAAAAAAGTATGTTTAAACCCTAGTATCTATACTTCTACTTTAGTAATGAATGTGAATACTTTTGACACCTCTGACAGGCACTGAGAATGTTTTACTCAGAACCACTTCCAAAAGGTGGGTTAGGACTTGCAAACAACAAGCTGCCTCCCTGCAAGTTTTGCTTTTCTGACACACCTGAACGCATCACTAGCCTGCTCCCCTCTGGACACAGAGTGGAGCATGCGTGCCTAAGGAAAATATGGTGGCAGCGGAAGATTTGGGTAAACATGTGAATGAGACTAAAACTGAAGAAAACTCAGATAAACTAGTTCTGAAGAGAAACAGGACTGGATCAATAATCTGGCAGTGGTTTGGATTTCATTAAGAGGACATCGAACAAAATTTGGTAATTTTGCAAAACGTGCCATTCTGGGTCAGTCAATTTTATCGTCACTGTTTATACTTTTGTTTTTGTATTTTAAAGCCATCACATTTTTTGATTTTACATAGTTTATGTTAAAAGCACAAGAGCACCTTTTTAAGTTTCAATGGTTTATTTTTCCTTTTTGCTTAATGTGCTTTTTTGCTGCTATGGTCCATTTATTTTTGAGTTTATTAAAAGGGATCCCTGATTAGTTGTAACATTAGACTTTATTTGATAAACATATTTTAACTGTAAAATAAAAACTGTAAAAATACTGTAGGCTGTTTAGTTTTTATAATTTTTAAACTAAAAAGTTTAAAAATATATTACACGGACGAGGTCATTTCATTTACACACAAAGCATTCTGGGTAAATGATGATGTGGACAAGTCCTCGGTGTGAGTGAGCTATATCCACCCTGAAGGTTAATCATACCTGCTAGCCACCCGAAGCCTCTAGAACAGACTATTGTTTTTAAGTGTTTAGCTGTTGGTGGCGTGTTTAGATGTTTGAGGTGTGTTTAGGTGTTGGTAGACCGACCTCTGTTCAATCATGAGGTATGGAGGCTATGGTGACTATGCTACCTGAGAGGTTCTTACCAAACAGAATTTTGTTTGTGATGGAGGTACTTGTGGCCCTCTGTATTTTTATGGCATCAGAGGTTTTTTAGACTTACTGTCTTGCTTTTAATTTTTCACAAGTTATTGGTTCTACTCGCCCTAATTCTAAATATCCAGACAAATCATCTTTTCTTGATCTTTTTATTACCGATTTGCCACATAAATACCCTACAACTGCAGATTTTGTGAATGATCTAAGTAATCATTGCATTGTTGGTGCAGTTAGAGATATTAAAATACCCTGTTTTAAACCTATTCTTATCTGAAAAAGAACAATGAAGCATTTTAGTGAAAAGACCTTCCTTTATGATTTATTTCATTATAATTCACAGCATTCACACAATTGAGATCATTTTTTCTTCCATCCGTTTTTCGGCATCTAATTTGTTCCACAATTTTTGTGCTATTTTAACAATTCATATAACAAAATGTTCAGCTCATTTATGACAATCCTGCTATGACTTTTGGTATTTCAGTTATTTTTACTTTTTCAGCCATTTCACTTTTTTAGCCACCTTTTTGCCATTGAAAATTAATGGATTTGTTTTCAACATCCTTAAAATCCTTTAAAATGTTTTTAAATCTTTACAGAACCTTACACATTTCATTCTGGTTCTGTTCATTTTTGGTATCGTGCTAATTCTAGCTACCTTTTTTGCAAACTTTAGCTTTTTTCTGCAATTTCTGCTATAATTCTGCCTCTTTCTGCTATACTCCTGCTAATTTCTGCTTTTTGTGCTTCTTTCTCCTAGTTTTAGCTATTTGTTTCTTACAGTTGCTTTCTCCATTTACAGCTATTTTAGCTTTTAGCCTTTTTCTACTATTTCAGCTATTTTTTGCTCATTTTTTCTGTTTTTCTGCAAAGTTAAGCTTTTCCCCCTCTTTCAGCTTTTTAAAATGAACTCACAATAACAGTATTGCCATTAAATGTTTTCAGCTTAATTTCAGAGGCTTTGAGCTTAAGTTTTCAGCAAGAAGCATTCACACTAGCTTTTTCACAGGAAACGCAATTTCTCTAGTTGGAAGTGCATTTGTCTGTTTAATGATGTTAATTATGCTTGGGACTTCGTTTATGACAGTTTTAATTATTTTCTTAAACATGATTTGTTTCATCAGCTGAGAGTTAAAGGTCAAGTGAGTCCCTGGTTCACCTCTGAACTAGTATTTCTTGCACAGGAGAAATCAGCTTTGGGCAACTGCAAGGAAATCTGGTTTAGAAGTCGACTGAATACGTTTCCATCAATTACGAAACAAATGTACTGCTGCCATAAAGAAATCAAAACAGGGTTATCATTTGTCTCAGACTACAAAATGTCTAACTAACCCAAGGAAGTTTTGGCAAACTGTTAGGCAACTATCATTCCTCAGATTTAAACTCCACTGTGGTTTCAGATAAGACAGAGATGCTTAATTGTTTAAACATACACTTCATTGCCTCTGGATCTTTATTTGGTGCAGTCACTGTTACTCAACCTTTAACTTCCTCTGTGAATCAATCCCTAAAACAGAAACACTTTCTAACTTTCACTTGTATCTGTCAGGGAAGTTCTTAAGGCACTGAAGGGTCTTAATCTACATAAATATGTGGGACCTGACAATCTTTCTACATAGATGTAAATGACATCATACGACTTTGATGCTAATCACTGTGCTGCTCTTTTCATTGACCCGTCTAAGGCATTTGTAGCATGTTTACATGTTGGTGGCATGTTTCGCTGTTGGTCACGAGTTTAGCTGGTGGTGGTGTGTTTTGACATTAGTGGCGTGTTCTGCTGTTTGTAGAGTGTTTAACTGTCGGTGGCGTGTTTAGATGTTGGTGGCGTGTTTAGATGTTGGTGGTGTGTCTCTCTGTTGGAGGTGTGTCTCTCTGTTGGTGGCGTATCTCTGTTGGAGGCGTGTCTCTCTGTTGGAGGCGTGTCTCTCTGTTGGAGGTGTGTCTCTCTGTTGGAAGCATGTTTAGATGTTGGAGGTGTGTTTAGGTGTTGGAGGTGTGAAGTTGGAGGCATGTTTAGATGTTGGAGGCGTATTTAAATGTTGGTGGCGTGTTTCGCTGTTCATGGCGTGTTTAGTTCATCGTGAGTGTTTTGCTGTTGGTGGTGTGTTTAACTGCTGGTGGCATGTTTCTCTGTAATAGGTGTGTTTCTCTGTTGGTGGCATGTTTAGATGTTGGTGTGTTTAAATGTTGGTGGCGTGTTTCACTGTCCGTGGCATGTTTAGTTGTTCATGGCATGTGTTGCTGTTTGTGGAATGGTTAGTTAGTGGCGTGTTTACCTGTTTGTGGACTGGTTAGTTAGTGGCGTGTTTACCTGTTTGTGGACTGTTTTGCTGTTGGCGGCTTGTTTCTCTGCTAGTGACATGTTTAGATGTTGGTGGCATATTTAGATGTTGGTAGCATGTTTAGATGTTATTGGCATGTTTTGCTGTTTGTGGAGTCTTTACATGATGGTGGTGTTATTCTCTGTTATTGGTAAGTTGGTCTGTTATTGGCATGGTTCTCTGTTAGAGGCATGTTTAGATGTTGGCATGTTTAGCAGTTTGTGGTGTGTTTAGATGTTTGTGGCATGTTTACATGTTTGTGGCGTGTTTCGTTTTAGTGGCGTGTTTAGCTGTTTAATGGCATGTTTAGACATTAATGGCATTTTTAGGTGTTTGTGGCATGTTTAGATGTTTGTGAAGTGTAGCGTGTTTTATGTATTGTTTTCTTTTTTTTTATTTAGGCAGGTAATCTCTGTGGGATATGTAAGTCTTATTAACAAGAGACATGTGATACCCGTACTGTATGACACCAGTTACATAAAGATCTCAAAACATATTATCATTTAAAGAAAAGCAGAGTTAAAAACACAATCTAAGAGCAAGATCAGAATTAAACTGATTATTTTTTCATTTTCTTTAAGATTCGTTTAAAATGTCTCAATGGGATCAACCTTGACAGTTTCAGTTTTTGTTGCAGTGAATTCTAAGAAAAAGAAGCAGAATAGGAGAAGGTTTTTTCCCCAAGTTTCCAAGTACTTTTCTAATATTCATTTTAATGGTTCTGTCACACTATGACATGTTAAGACATCTTATGAATAATTTGCCCAACACTAAAGATGTCTATGTTGAAGACAGAATAAAACACTTTCTGATGTAAACATACTGTAATGCTAATGATTGATTTGATTATAATTTATAACCTATAGTCATTTAGCCATAATCATATGTTCACAAGTCAACATTAGTTGTCTTATATTAATTGGCCTCAAGAGATGACTCAACAAAAAAGTGACTCAAATTGGTCGGAACATTGTTCATTTCAAAATAATAAAGTTCAGATGTGTTGTCATAATTTAAGAAACATCCGCAGACCTCCCAATGTCCTATTAGTTGTTCACTGATAGCCCTGTGAGTGTACTGCATGTGTGTCTGTGCGTACTTGTATTTAGTACCATTTTAGGACCGTTTCTGGTATGCACACCTACGTTGTTAAGACTAGTGGTCCTTATGGGGACCAAAGGTCAGTACTAATATGGTGGAACTCCATTTTTGGGTCAGTGGTTAGGTTTAGGATCAAGGTCTGAATTGAGTTTAGGTTAGGTTTAGGATTAGGTATGTACTGGAGTGGTTAGGTTTAGGTTAAGGGGTTGAAATGACCAATAAACAAATAGAAGTCAATCAACAGTCCTAATAAGGCTAGAAATACAAACTTGTGTGTGTGTGTGTCTGCATACAGTAGAAAATAACATAACAAAATATTTCAAGATCCACATTTTATCACTAAAGTGAGCTGAGACTTCAGAAGTGACTTCATGCATTCAAATCACCAGAAGGTTCAAAAGGTTTTCAAAAACCAAATGTGAACAGGACCAGTGTCAGTCAGGTCTTACCTTTATTGAAACCTTGGTATCTTTGTGGGCCAGCTTCAGGGCGTTGTGAAACACTTTAAGGTCTTCTTCCAGAGCCAAAGTGGCTGCAGGGAGTTTTTGTTGGTCAGGTTCAATGTGCTCAGCCAGTTTAGAGGGAGAGTCAATAAACTGCAGCCGTTTGCTGCCTTTCAGTCCCGTCAGCAGCCTCTCGTGATACTTTGTGTACTCCCTCACCCATGTGTTGCAGTTGTAGACATAAACTGCTGCCACATTCTCATAAGCAAAGCCAGGAAACACCACAAACCACTTGGACAGGAAGTCAGTCTTAAAGCGATTGCTGGGTCCAACATGAGTTAGGTCAACAACGATCTCATAGGGCTTGGCATAGTAGGGTTTGAGGGTGAGGAGAACATGGTAGATGAGAAGGTCACCATTAAGCTGGCCTGTTTTGAACCTGGAGGAAGGAGAAAATGGAATATCATCAAATACAGACTCAAACCTGTAACATATGATCAAACTTTCTTTTCTAAAACCACTATACATTTAACCAAATCAAAAGAGTTCAAAGAGTTTTGCAAAATTACTGGTTGGAATGGTTAGAAATACACAGTTTCATGGAAATGATACAGGAATTTTACTCTCTTTCATAACAGCTCCTGGGTCTCTGAGCAAGTAAACGAGATACCTTGAAACCACCCAAGGAGAGAGGGAGACCAGGAAGAGAACTCAGAGTCTGTCTCAGGATCTCACTTCATCTCAGCACCAAGACATACTGAAGATATATCAAGGTAATACAAGCGCTTGTGGTAAATTAAGAGAGGCACTGTACAATAAACTTCTTCCTGCCTAGACCCCCTTTATACAGGATGATGATGCCGCTGTGAAACCAACACAGTCAAAATATGACTGGTCTTTACAGGCTTGCCATACGTTTACGTCCGGTTGGCGTACATCCAAGTACACAAGCGCTAATGTTAACTTCTGACAATAAGTCGTCTGGGGTAAAACAAAAGAAACCAAAGGAATCACTCAAATTATCTGCCAATTCTGTGCAGAATATAAAGATTACAGAGGCCACAGCAACCTTTGTTTGCAAAGTTTGACACCTGTACTCGGTGGTGGAAAAACGAAGGCTTCAAGCGGCTTGTTCAGGTATTCGGACCAAACTACAGTATGTAAACATCTGACTGAAACTGTTATTCTGAGAGTATAAATGTGTGAAAGACATTCTAAAGAAATTGTTTAGTTTAATTATTTTTACACTTAAGAAACGTCTTAATGAAATTTACAATGATGGAATGTTGTTGTTTAAGTACACTTTCACTTGCATATCCCTTTTAATGTGTATGCCTTTGAGGCTTGAGACAGTTTTGTTTGCAGTTCAAGTTTAAATTGTCCAATTTACAAGTTTTTCCTCAAAATCTGTTTGTGGTGAAGAGAAAAACAAAGTAAAGTATTTGCGACACAGTTGAGCCATTTTCAGTAAATAAGAGCAGATTGAATATAATTGAATCAAATCGTGATTAACTGATTCAAATTGTAAATGGACTATACTTGTATAGTGCCTTTCTATCCAACCAGGACACTCAAAGCTCTTCACACTACAATCTGTGTCCTCATTTACTCAGCACTGTATTAGGTCTCTACAAAGCTAACATGTACAATCAATCTATGGAGACTACTCAGTGCCAATCACATTCATACACTGATGGGACACACATCAGAGGCATTAGGGGTGAAGTGTCTTGTCCAAGGACACAACAATTGAGACAGCTGGACGGGGGATTGAACCGGCGACCTACCGGTTCCAGGATGACTCTCCTAACCACTCTGCCACAGACGCCCCCCATTCAGAACCTTGTTAATCAAAATCAAACCAATTTAAAGAATTAGCCACGATACTCAGCCCTACATACGAGCAAGGCTTGGTCAAGAATTTGAAGCTGGACTGGCCATGCTGGCCTCATGTCTAGACTATAAGATAAGATAAGGTAACATAACATAAGATAAGATAAGACAAGAAAATACTTTATTGATCCAACAATGAAGAAATTTGCACATTACAGCAGCTCAAAACAGGACAGGGTGAGGTAGAATAAAGAAAGATAAGTAAAAGAAAAAACACTATACTCGTGATGTATAACAATGTACATATACCTAGTACAGTATGTAAATGAATATATATGCAGGTGCATATTACTGATGGCAGTGTAGGTGAATTGTCTAAGTGACTGATAACATCATGAAGTGTTATACAGTCTAACTGCAGTTGGAATGAATGACCTACGGAAGCGCTCTGTCCTGCAGTGAGGATGTTTAAGTCTCTGACTGAAGGAGCTGCTCAGCCCCCCCACGGTTTCATGCAGAGGGTGATGGGGGTTGTCCATGATGGCTGTCAGCTTTGCCAACATCCTCCTATACATCCTCCTATACATCCTCCTATCCTAGTATGATCATATTTGTGACAAAGTTGTGGAAACAACCTGATGCAGATGTAATATTTGTGACTGAAGCACCATGCTGATCTTCTAGCTTCACTCTGCTGCAGTCTGGGAAAGTGGTGTCAGGGTGGGCACACAGAACTTGGTTAGGGTACAAGACAATGTCTCTGGGATGTGGAATGGTAAATGAACTGTACTCATATAACACCTTTCTATCCAATCAGAATACTCAAAGTGCTTTACGCTACAATCTGTGCCCTAATTTACCCATTCACACATTCACTCAGCACTCTGCTAGATCTCTCTACAACACTAACATGTACAAATTATTTTATAGAGACTAATCAGCAACCTAAATCATATTCATACACTGATGGGACACATCAGAGGCAGTGGGGTTCAGTGTCTTGCCCAGGGACACTTCGACACATGACTGAATAGCGGGGAATTGAACTGCCAACTCTCTGATTAGAGGACGACTCCCTTAACCATTCAGCCACAGCTGAAGAGTCCAAGTAGAGAGAAGTGAGCATAATGACTGCTTGAGGGCTAAAGGATTTTTTCAAATTGGCCACTGTGAAGCCATGCTCTAACAGGTTGTGAAGAGTATAATGGAGTCATCATCTAGTGTGAATGCGGTCTTCACAAATAATGCAACAATGTCAAAAAATGTCTCTAATATTGTAATTTTTGTTTCAGAACATGATGGAAATCATCGAAACCTTTTGGCTGTTCATTCTCCTGAACCAGCTGCTGCTGATAGATTCGACGTCTACAGATCAGTCCCTTTTAACCACAAACACATCCCAAACCGGTGACTATAGTGACAGGGACAGATCTGTGGTCTTCACAAATGAAAGCTACCAGAACTCTGATAACAGCACCGTTGTTCCTCGTGGTGACTGCCTGATTGACACAGAGATGGGTCTAATTGCCATTGGTTCAGCAGGAGGACTCATTTTCTGTTTGCTGGTTGCCACCTTCATATTAGCATGTCAAGTCTGCATCCTTCAGCGTCGGGTCTATGCCCCTCCAACGTCACTGTCCAACATGGACTTGGTGAGTGATGCGCAGTACTGGAGCACAGACCAAGCAGAGACCAGAGGACTAGTTGGACCATGTGATACTGATGTCATGCTTGAAGAGGTGAGAGTAGAAAGCAAGTCAAAAGGAAAAAAGCAAGCTGAGCTACCAGAGGAGGCTGATGGAGGACGACAGGAAGGGTCAACAGCTAAATCTTCTGATCCTGAAGAAAAGGTAATGCACATCCAAAGTTCTAGTTCCAGGGATTCCTGTTTGGAGGTTCCCAAGGACTTAGAGGACATGCCCCTTGTTGTCTAAAGAAGAACCCCATCAATCCAGGCTTTCTGTAGCATCTACTTACAGTATCTAATGAGAAATTTAATGTGCTAACACTAATTAAATGTATGTGTCAACCAAACAGAATCAAATCTTCATTTTATATCCGTACATGTATTAATCAATAATTTTTTTAATCAATTTCACTCAAAGTATATGTGAATCTAGAATTTGTTATTCTTATCATAAAAATATTTAATGAGATCTATGGACAAGAGTGTTTGGCCAGACCTGATCCTCTCAGCAACAGAAAGGGATTAGACACTGAAACTGAAACACCTTGTTTTAGACCATAACACGCCCCTGCAGACAGCTTCCTCTTGCGTCCACAGTTAATCCGGTTGGATGTGGTTGGTCCTTCTTGGTGGTATGCTAACATTACACTGGATGTTGTGGCTCTTGATACATCACAAAGACTTGCTGTCTTGGTCACAGATGCACCAGCAAGACGTGCACCAACAATTTGTCCTCTTTTGAACTCTGATATGTCACCCATAATGTTTTGTGCATTGCAATATTTTGAGCAAAACTGTGCTCTTACCCTGCTAACTGAACCTTCACACTCTGCTCTTACTGGTGCAATGTGCAATTAATGAAGACTGGCCACCAGKCTGGTCCAATTTAGCCATGAAACCTCCCACACTAAAATGACAGGTGTTTCAGTTTCATTGTCTAACCCCTGTATGGAGTTGGACTTCAATAAGACCATCAGCTTCTACTCTTCATGGAAGGTTTCCCACAAGAATGCATACTGTTTCTGAAGGAACTGGTTTCTATTCATTCTATAGAGCATTTATGATGTCAGGCACTGATGTTGTTCCAGAAGACCTGGTTCACCATCTCTATTTCAGCTCATTCCAAATATTCTTGGTGAGGTAGAGGTCAGGGCTCTGTGCAGCCCAGTTCTTCCTCACAGAACCTATCAAACCAGATCTTTACCATCTTTGCTTTATGAACTAGGGAACTGAAAGCATATGTTGTCCAACATGTCTTGGTTTGCTGAAGCTTTAAGATGTCCCATCACTGCTCCAACCCAGACCCTGACTGAGAAGAACTAATAGATGGGTCCAAACAACTGTGTCCATATAGTCCAAGTTCTTGAAGATATGCAGAATATTACATTTTAAACTTAAGTCTTCATCACAAACTTAAACAGGTCACATTTTTGTTGCACTCCCACACTTTTTACCTGTTTTTACCTGATTGAATAAAACATTAAACTGACTCACAGTGAGCCTTTGACCTTGTCTTGTATCAACATTCTGTTGATAAAGGAGGCTCTTCCAACGAGACTGATCATCTCCCACTGGACAGACTCCTAACATGAAGGAATGGCAATGAAAAGATCAACACATACTGACTCCGTCCAAAACCTTTCTAAACCTGACCCCCCTGATGATGTGCTGCTGGACTGGTGACAGAACCAGAACCTGCTCCTAAATAAAATGTTCTGCTCACTTTAAATAATCAAATTCCCTTGTAAGAATCTCAGTAAACAGAAATATTGTTACACTGGATAAGAACACAATAAATTATTTTTACGTATACAAACTTGTATGTATGTACATGTATGTACGTGTGATTAGTCTTCATGTTTTGAATTTACTGTATTTACGCATGTCTAATATGATCCCTCCCCCAACTTCCCAAAAAAATTTTTGGGGTTAAACTTTCACAATATACATGCATACATATGGTAATCATGTTTTCCTCAGTCATTTTTTTTATATATTGTTGTTCTAAAGCCTTGCCATTTTATCTGATGCTGTTACACTCATGTTCATTCAACATATCCTGTTCTTGTTTTTAATTTTTAATGTCTTTGTTAATCTTGTTATTAAGAATAAGTTATCTAATAAAGAGAAAATAAGAAAAATAAACTACAGTTCACACCAGTTTGTTGGCTGAGAAGAAGAATATCTCTAACCAAAGAAATCAACCTCTGTGCACAGCATTAACTGCTCCTGTGCTGCCATGATCAGTGCTTCTGTGCTGTCCTACAGTCCTGCACTCTTCAGCCATTGGTAGGATTTGGTCAAATCAACCACTGCAGCTATCGGTTGGTGGTACATCCCATTCAGGTTTTTTCTCACATGGTGGTTCCTTCAGCTTCGTCTCTTCCAGTTTCCACTTACATGTTGTGGAGAGAAAGATTATTGGCCGATAGTTGGATGGGATTGTTCCCTTATGAGGGTCTTTCATTATCAGGACTGTTCGGCCCTCAGTCAGTCATTCAGGGTGGTTCCCATTCTTTAGTAGTTGGTTCATCTGTGCCACTAGGCGCTTATGGAGTGAAGTCAACTTCTTGAGTCAGTAGGCCAGGCCTGGTGCTGTCCAGTTCTTCACACCCAAGAGTTTTTGTTTGATGTCCGCCATTGTGGTGTTCACTCAACTTTGTTCTGGGAAATTAGAGAGCTCTGCCCTTAGGTCTATTAGGTTAACATCATCATTATGTGATGCTTCTTTCTCCCTAAAACCTTTCCAGTATTGTTCAGTCTTCAGCCTTAGTGGGTTGGCTCATGTATTATTACCCAGCCATTGAGAGTCCACTTCAGCCAGTTCGGTGGAGAACAGTCTGTTAATTCATCAGGTTTCTATCTCCTTTAAGTATCTCTTCAATTGAGCAGCCAAGGCTTGGAATCTTTCTTCATTTCCAGTGGTGGCCACAGTTCCCCTAAAGCACTAAAGCACTAATAGGGGAACTAATTTCCTGATTAGTGCTTTAGGGCTTTTGCTAATTTTAAAATGTATTAGTGGACTAGCACTTGCTAAATTTATGGGCTAAATTTAGAAGCACTACCTGAGGTCTATAAATATTATTGATCAGCATTAACTGAGGGTAAAAGCTATCACACATTTTGTTCATGTGTGTGTCACTTATCCACTAGATGAAAATATTTTGACAATATATGAACTCAAATACAGCTGTGGAATGTCAATGATAAGTCTTTAGTGAGCAACATGGCAATATGTGACTCATGTCTGTTTAAGAATGTTCATAGGTTGACTGGGTTATTTCAGTGCTTCAGAATTACACTTTGCTAAAATTTTCAGTGCATTAGTGCTTTATAATTAGGGGACCTAAATATTTGAGTTATTGTTTTACGACTAGTGGAACTAATTTTTAGATTAGTGCTGCCCACCACTGTTTGTTTCAGGTATAAACATCTGTTTGCATTTCAGCAGTATTCTCTTTCTGGATGCATGTTTCTGGAGTTTTGACAATTGATTGACTCCTTCTGTGTTGCCTTGATTTTGGCCTCCAACTTTCTTCTCCATGGTGGACATTATCCATTGTGGCTGCTCCTAACTTTGCCAGGCATCTGAAGGATCACTAATGCTGTATAGTATATCAGCTCATTGGTTTCTGTGATGGTCACAGTAGGAATTGTACCCTCTGGAGGCACTTCACTAGCCAGTGTCAGGGTTGACATGCACTTAACTTAGCCATGTTCTGATCTCTTAGGTCAGTTGTTCTCACATTCTTGGTACCCAACCTCAGAGGGGGAATTGATGTTAACTCCCCCATCTGACCTGGTATCCTGGCTACCCCTTTCCATAGCATTCCTGTGTTTTGTCTCCTGGATTTCTATGTGTGAAAGTTTGTGGATGTTGGTACACTGAGCTACTAGATTTTTCGCTGTTAGTTTAGACTGTGGGTTTTAAAGCACCCATGTTGCCCACAATATTTTCATATAACCCTACTGGCTAGGGTTACTAGAGTAGTAGCATTTCAACAGTTTCTTATTCTCTCTCCATGTCCATTGCCGTCTTGTTCTAGTAGCCCATTTCTCATCACAGTGCCCTGGTTCCTCAACACTTGACGCAGACGTTGTTTGACTGGGAAAGACATCTGAGCTGGTATGGTTCTCTGTTTATTCACTCTTATCATATCATGAGGTTGGCAGTTGGCATTAATGGACCTGCCTAACGACCAACACTAGATGATGTTATAAACCCACTATATATCTCATGACATATATGCCCCATGTAGGATCAAACTCCCGCATGTGGGACTGATGCTCTACCAACTAACTCAAATATATATGAGTGAGTGAGTAGACAGGTTGGCATTAAGTAATTTAAATGTATTTGACCAGAGTATTTGGGGGGAACTATAGGACTTTACAGGTTAAATTAAACTGTGTTGGTTGCCTTTGATGTAGTAGTTTAGGGTGAAATCTATAGACTCTGTAAAATGCTGGTCTTTTTTGTGTGAAAAACAAACTACTATTCTTAGTATTTCAGTTAGTTTCACACTTTGCATTTCCTGTCAGTGAGTCAAGCATGTGTCTCAACATTTCAGTGAGGTGGGGCTGTTAGTTCCTACTTTCCTTCAGTATTTTCTTGTTGCAGGCAACATCTTACTACATCAACATCTTACAACTCAATGGTGACAGACATTCTTTGATTCAAGTTGCTGATAAGTTTTTAATTTTTATTTAAACTTTATTTAACCAGGAAGTCCCATTGAGATTAAAAAACCCTTTTTCAGGTGCTGGTAAGTACATCTTTACATGTTGGAATTATACTGAACTGTCAGAAAAGCTGCAAAGTTCTCTAAAAAATTTTATGAAATATTTTAACTGTAGTTTAATAGACACGTAAAAAGAAAATGATTAATACTGTCTTCAATAATTTCATGTCTCGTATTGGTCAAAAGCTCACTGTTTTAAGATTAGACTGAGCTGAAAGGAATAAAAAAAACTAATTTGATCAAAAAGTGTAACTTACTGTTTAAAGTTTAAAAACTGCATGAGTGGAAAACACAGAAACCTTAAAGTGAAGTAAATATTTGAAAGTTTCCACACAAAGCAGATCTTAGTTCAGAAAGAGTTTTTATCTCAGAGCATAGCACATTTTTCGTTATCACTTCCTCCATGGAAATGGTTTGAACGTTGGCTGAGCTGAGGTTTGAACTTAAAATCATGTGACACCACTATTCTCTCCAACTGATCTGAAGTGAGATCTTTTTCCAGATAAGTGATTAAAGAACACACTGAGGCGGATTATAATTTTTTAGGGGTGTGTTTTGAGCAGATCTATGTGAGCTGTTGATCTGCGATGGCTTTACACCAATCTGTCTCCGGTTCTGTGATCCTGTTGTTCTGCTCTATAAGAGGCATTAAAATGCTGGCCTGTCCAGCTGGATTACTTGGTCAGGTACAATGGACTCAGGTTAATTAAAAACGAACCTAAAATTTTAACAATTGAAGAAATAATAAGTCAAATGTTTATTGGTGAGAAAAGCGATGGTATAATTGGTCTGTGTTCATAAATTTAATCACTATCAGCTCTTCTATCTTCATCTGTTTGCTTAGAGCTTCCTGAGTGTTGTCTCCTGGTCAGCTGGCTGCCTCCTCGGTATTTATTCCTCTTTTACAGAAAGCTGGTGTTGTTCAATAGTCTGTGCAAGGTTGTTTTTAGCTTCCTGCAGCAATGTGTTGCTATACCTAAGTGTTAGAAGACAAAAACTCTAACTTTTGTCCAGAGCAGGTTTAGCCTCTGCATCTTTGTGCACTGCAAAAAAATTAATAAATAAAAAGCAACAGCCGTTGTGTTCTCCTCAAATATACTATTCTTTGGACACCTTTGTGGCAAATATGTACAATCACACAAACTGCTATTAAATGGTACACATTGAATCTTTCTTGTTCAGATGAGTCCTGCAGCTCAAAGGCAGACAAAAGCTACACAAGCTTTCCAAAAGTCTCTGGGCTGAAATGCTGCTTCATGTTTGCTCCAGATCTTTCTCTGCTCACTAATAAAACGAGCCCTCAGTCAAACTGGGCATTGGTGCTTGGTTGTAAAAGCAGACAGATACATAAATACACTAACAGGTTCTGTCTTGGTTCAGCTGTTCACTACAGGGGATCTCCCCAGGAAGTTGTCCTCCTACATCTGTGTCTTCTGTCCTCACTCCAACTACCTCCCATGTCTTCACCTCTTCATCACACTCCCTGTTTTTCTGGACAGTGGACCCTAAGTCCTTGAAGTCCTGCACCTTTGTGATCTTTGAAATCAAATCAGTTCTGTTGCTAAATTTTGACCTCTCTAAGGTTCTACAACTTAAATGGATTTAAAGGATTAAAGTCCCTGCAGAGAAGTGTTGGGTAGTTTTAAGCAAGTTTGATGTTGAAGTCATTTATGCATTTGCTTATTTTATTAATACAGAAATAAAGTTTAAAAATAAATGATAAATTGTCAATAGTTGTTGATGATGTAATGGAAATAATTTCAGTTGAAATATTAAATGTTAATTCTAAAAATCTAATAATAAATTGTGTGTATCGATCACCAAGTTCAGACCAGGTTGTGTCTATCGATCACTAAGAAAATCATGGAGCTTTTTGAAATAAGTTGTAATAAAAATGTTTTTTGTGTGGGGATTTTAATATTTGGGAAATCAATCTGACTCAAATGATATCAGTATGTTTATAAACTCACTGTACAGTTTGTGTCTTTATCAATTAATATCTACACCAACGAGAATTACAACACATAGTGCTAAAGGGATAAATAATATTTTTACAAAATGTAAGAAATACAGAGGTGATGAGTGGGATTTTCATTACTGATATAAGTGATCATCTACCAGTTTTTACAATTTATAGAAATGATCAATGCAGTGAAACAGTAGCTACAATAAATGAAATGATAAATACATCAAAACAAGCTTTGGACAACCTGAAAGACAAAAAAATAAAAAACAAAACTGAAAGCATGTGTCTGTCGATGATGTAAACAGAGCATGTGATGTGTTTATAAATATTTTGGGAACTCTGTAGAATTGTATGTATGAAAAAAATGTGCAAAAAGAAATGTTGACAAACCGTGGATGATGAAAGGGTTAAGAAATGCTTGTAAAAAATAATTACTTGTATTCATGCTTCTTAAAATTATGAACAAAAGAAGCAGAAGGGAGATATAAGAAGTATTAAAAACGAGATGGTTTGGATTATAAGAAAGCATAAGAGAATATTATATTTTTTATTTTACTGTATACAGATTTTGTTTTTATAAATAAAATAAATTTAATAAACCTAAAAAAGGCAAATAAAAATATTGATGTATGATGGTTTTATAGCAGTTTTTTGTGCTTGTACATTTTTGCCACAAAGAGTTGGAGGCTGCAAAATGCATCAATAAAATATAAAATACATTTAAGAATAAAAAAACTTTGATTAGAACATTTTTACTAAAATTAAAATTTCCACTAAAAATCCAGGCCAAAAGCTTTAATACAACCAAAATGAAAATAAATAAATAAATAAATTTACAAAAAATAGCAGGAGTGCACAAGGGACAGTTGCAACTTGATGACAGACATGCAGTCCCACCTGTGAGCAGGTATTCTACTGTGACATGCAGAACGCCACTTTTCATTCAATAAACAAACGCCACAGTGTAATGTTTCTTGTGTATACTTCACTTTAGAATTCAATAGATGACATCATCAGCATAAAACCACAGAGCAGAAAGAGGAAGTGATTGTTCTAATCCTGACTTGAGATCAGCTAGGGACACACAAGCTGCTTCATGCCTTTTCAGGAAATGATTTTGCAACACAAAGTTATATTTCTCAACAGTTTCCTGTTCACGTACAGACTTTCCTCATCAGACAGCATTGCTTTAATGTGTTTTCTGCAAGTCTCTGATAAATTACACTTTTCTGTTCCAGCTACAAAAACACAAGGAACCACCTTCCAGGAAAAATGCAGAAGACAATGACCAGTGTGATTTTCATATGGCTGCTACCACTGACAGCTGGCAGCACAGTAACATCTGCTCTGCCCAACAACTCGACCAACATAACAGCAGATCAGCTGACAACACAGATGTCAACCTTGGAGCAAATCTCAGAGAGTTTGGGTCTTAAAGTGACAACATCCACCACTGAAGATGTGAATCCAACACACAGCAGAAGCAGGTCAACACATTCACTCTCTTCACTTCTAACAACTCAAACACCTCCTGCTACAACAACCCAAAACAACCAAACAGCAGCAACTCTGCTTTCTTTCAGTCAAACTGTCTTGAGTAGCTCGACAGAAAAAACAAATACTCAGAAATCAATGATTCTGACCAGTCAAAACAGCAGCGAAACCATTTCTTCAACTGCACCTTTAGTACAAATACTCTCCACTCAAAGTCGTGGTCCTGAGAAGTCATCAGCATCTAAAACGACCTCTCTGTCTGCTCCTACTTCCCAGTCAGTATCCTTTAGCTCTGCTGCAACATCTACCAAAGCTGACACATCTACAAGTTCACATTCAGTCACCCACACCTCAGGTCCCGATAAAACCACAGCTGGAAGAACATCCACATACATCCCTGAGGCCATGTCGGGGAACCAAACAAACTCCAGTAAAATAGTAGCAGGGATCATAGGTGGAACCTTGTGTTTGATGATGGTGGGGTTCCTGGTCATCTACGTAAAGAAAAACAGACTTCAGAAGCAGCAGCTAACAACAACAGACTGGGCCGGCCCTTCTCCGTTTTTAGAGAGTGACAATGAAAATGCCAAGATTACTCTAAGGTCATCCAACCGAATCTCCTTATCCAGTTTTTTGCCTCAGAGACTGTCCAAAAGACTCTCTTTGCTTCCAGAAAGAGATGAGGAGTTACAGGACATGACTCCCACTGCTACATTTGGAGGGAAACATCTAGAGGGCATATCTGGTCCAGCTGCAAATGAAAAGAATGTCCAGGAACAAACTGCATCTGTTGTTGTGGATTCAGAAGACAAAAACAAAGGTCAAGGTGCAGAGACGAGTGAAAACTGTGTTTCAGAGAGCTCCACAAAAAATAACAGCAATCATTCAGAGGCTGCCAACCTGAACTAAACCAATCTGTTAATTTTATCTCCAGAAAAGTCATCAACTCTACAAAGAGATCCACCATTAACAGCAACTCTACAAAGAGATCCACCATAACCAGCAACTGTACCAACAGATCCCCCATAAACAGCAACTGCACCAATAGATCCAACACAAACAGTAACTGTACCAACAGATCCCCCATAAACAGCAAGTGTACCAAGGCATCCACCACAAAAAGCAACTGTACTAACAGATACACCACAACCATCAACTCTACCAAGAGATCCACCAAAAACAGCAACTGTACCAATAGAGCCACCATAAACAGCAACTGTACCAATGGATCCACCATAAACAGCAACTGTACTTGGATCCACCATAAACACCAACTGTACAAACAGATCCACCACAAACAGCAGCTTTATTTGGCTTTTTTACTGCAGTTTAATCCTGTGTTAACTGTTATTTGCTTGCTTTTTATGTCAGGTATCTCTGTGATTGGTTTGAAAAGTGACAAATAAAATGCATTTTCACTAGCTAGATGAAGCACATTGTTTTAACTCCAGCTTTCAGTAACAAGTGGCTCAAAATTCATTCTTTCACCTTTAAAGTCAACGCATCACCAAGTGAACTCAGCATTAGGTCTGTTCTGAAATAAATGTTTGACATGTTTGACAGAGACTCCTCTTGTCAGGTCAATGTACGTTTTGCTTTTTTTTTCATTCTGGATCCACCATTATCACTAACTATACAAACAGATCCACCATTATCACCAACTGTACCAACAGATAGTTTTTCATTTTAAAAACAGATATTAAAAAATGTTATTCTATTTTCATTTCATACTACAAAATGGCCCACGTTTTCACTTTTATTAACCATTGTCATGGCAACTCAATGCTGTCTTGTAGAACCTGCTGCAGCTTCCAGTTCCTCACCATGGACTTTTTGGAAAAAGGTTTCATGTTTTAAAAGCAGCATATGTTCCAGGAAACAGTTTGAATAATCAGTAATACAAACTATCAGCTGACACCTGGTAAAGAAATGTAAAACTAGTTAGCTAATGTCTATTTAGTTATTTACAGTCAGCTGCCAGTTATTAAAAAGTTTTTTAACTAACCGTGCCTTACAGGGGCAATATTATGTGTTTCTCAGGCATATATTTAAATTATATACCATAATAAAGTAACAATGTCACCTTCACTTGTTATTAAAATGTTGTTTATGTGTTTAAATAGAGAGTAAAATTGACTTCTCAACATATCTGTTTCTAAATGCCTTAAAATTGGACTCTGTCTCTTTAAGAACCTCCTTCCTCTTCTGTCCAGCCCATTTCAGCACAGGCCAGGTGGGTGTGTGTGCTCTGTGATGAGGAAGCTCAGCTTCACTCACCGGCCACTTTATTAGGTACACCATGCTAGTAACGGGTTGGACCCCCTTTTGCCTTCAGAACTGCCTCAAT